ACAAATAAACAAATTATAGCTACACAAAACAACGATAAATGCACAAATTTGAGTTACAATCATGCTAACACGATCCGTCGTAGCGACACAAAACAACGATAAATACACAAATTTATGATACAACCATACTTACACGATCCGTCTTGGGGGTTATGTTTACACAAACTCAAATAGTAAACAAAGTGTTTCATCATAGATAAAACATAAGTCTATGGTTTCATTGAATAGAAAAATAAATAACAGCAATTGAATTATACAGCTGATCAAAATGTAAACAATTATGTTCTTCATAAGGATAACATGGAAACTTTCAATGCCACTTGGGCAGAGCCCAAGGGACTTTAAAAAAATGTAAGGCCAGTTTGCAAATCTACGCGACACGCTCTTTCCAATGAGACGTCAATGGATGAAATCGGTTAAGAAATGGTGGAGGAGTTCAACCGACAAAGTTTTATGTAGCGTATTAATTATATAGATAACACATGGTTAGATTTTTACTTATTGCCAACATAGTATAACAATCTATACTAGTGTACATGTTGCTCGAATTCGAGCAATTACAAAGTATTACAGGAGTTATTTCAGATTGAATAACAGTCATATTTACAATGAATTTAAAAGAGTCAACTCAAATATTACCGTTGTGTAACTCAGACCCTGTTTATCTTCGTTATTGATAAACCTAATTCCGGACGGTTCTCTCCTTCTCAAAATGCCTCGCTGTACAGGCAACACAGGTCATTAATAGAGGGCCAATTGAGAACGAAAAGTCGTTTTGGGGTAGTGTAAGGGCGCATTCGTAACCAAATAGTTGAAGTTTTCCAGGTTCATTTGAGACTGTTAAGCTGATGAGTTAAGCCTATTACGCGCCACTGTTCTGTAGTTGCGGTCGTTATCACGATTGCGCCTCCTGTCTATGTTTCGTTGTCGTTGCGTCGGAGACATTTAAAAGAAATAAACAACAAATAATAAACAAATTATAGCTACACAAAACAACGATAAATGCACAAATTTAAGTTACAATCATGCTAACACAATCCATCATAGCGACACAAAACAACTATAAATACACAAATTTAAGATACAACCATACTAACACGATCCGTCTTGGGGGTTATGTTTACACAAACTCAAATAGTAAATAAATGTACTCAATGTGTTTCATTGAATTGAAAAGTAAATAACAGCAATAAAATTATACAGCTGATCAAAATGTAAACAATTATGTTCTTCATAAGGATAACATGGGAACTTTCAAAGCCACTGGGGCAGAGCCCAAGGGACTTTTTCAAAAATGTAAGGTCAGTTTGCAAATCTACGCGACACGCTCTTTCCAATGAGACGTCAATGGGTAAAATCGGTTAAGAAATGGCGGAGGAGTTCAACCGACAAACTTTCGTGTAGCGTATTAATTATATAGATATCTATCTAACAAAAAACCACTAAGTGGTAACACTTTCCCCGCCAAGTCAGCAATCCAAAAAAGATAATAAATCATTACTTTTCCGCCAAGAAAAATAATGTAATGTATGTAAGTTTGGCAACTTGGTGGCAGACTTTTGCTTGGTTTTTTTTTTCATTAAAGTTACGTTCGTGGATAATTTCACAAATCAACTTCTCTAATTAATTAGTCCAACTAAGTGTAATAATTTCGAGGTAATCAGTAAATATAAAACCATCACTATTATGATTTTATGAAATGCGGCACAAATAAGGTCAAATTTTGTAAAATAAGCTCTCACCTAGCAATGTACTAATGGGAGAGATACTTGCTCAATGAAACTAGTTTTATGGTATTTTTTAAAGTGATCGAGCAAAAGTCTGCCGCCAAGCTCCCAAACTTACATACATTGCATTGTTTTTCTTGGCGGAAAAGTAATGATTTATTATCTTTTTTGGATTGCTGACTTGGCGGGGAAAGTGTTACCACTTAGTGGTTTTTTGTTAGATTTTATTAATTTTTGTAGAAAATTAACAGTTAAAATAAAAATCCTCTTTTCTCTGATATAGGCCTATAGACCACGGCACAACTACATCTCATTTAATTTCAATAATATTGTTTGTGTAGAACTAAATTCTAAATTTTTGGTCTTATCTGCTTTAAACCGATTAAAAACTTTTTGACACACGTACCAAAATTACTATTTAAAACCCCCTGGGCTTAAACTCAGTTTCAAATTTCATTAATGGTCATCTTGAACAACATAAAATGCGTTGGTGTTACATAAGTGTTCTGATAATTAAACCCGTATATCTAAAGACTAGTGTAAATTGAGCCCTTATTAGAGAAGTAAAAATTTAATCAAACAGATTAGGTGTGTTAGAAATAGCATAAGGCAAAACAAAGATTGAAAAACTCATTTATCCTAAATTTACATAACACTTTTTAATTGCTTGTTTAACATACGTAAAGTGATTTTCCCGATTGTTTTATTTTGTTTTAGTGTATCAAACATAAAACAAACCTTAGTACTAGTACTAAGTTTCAAGTTCCTAGGTTTCATATGTTTTGATAAGTAGTATTAAACTGTTAAAAATGACGAGCTGCTGTACCAGTGTACCATCTGTACACTGCATTTTTCAATGGAAAGTATCGGGGAATATCACTGCTCTAAGTAATTTTATATAGTAAGTAGTTCAAATCATTCGGTATACCTGAAAAAATACTTTATAAAAGTTTTAAAATAATTTTTCAGCTGTTCCTATGAATTTCTCCAACATTTAAATTAATTGAAATTTAATCGCAGCTGGTCCTTCTTTTGTTTTGATTTTAATCCCATGTTATTTAAATGGGCAAAAATCGTACTCTGATGGCTTGCCAAGGGTTTATGGGTCAACGCACCGACTTGAGACCCTCAAAAGGCACATCTACACGTTAAGGGCTTTCAAACAACATAAAAAACTTTAAAATTGAGCCAGTGGTTTGGGCTGTAGGTCCGTCAACATTTAAGGAGAAGAAGGAGAACACGGAAAATTTGTGAATTTTCAAACTAGTTTTTCTTGGCTCAAACACAACCGTTTTTTAAATTCTTTTTTTTTTATTTTGTTGAGAATGAGTGCCCCTATCCATTAGACGAATAACTATTTTGATAGCTTTTGTTTCTTCAAAGCTATAGACGAGTAAAAAAGCCACTTTGTCACGTCATGTATATATACACTGCAGCAGCTGTGTACCGCTGGGGGACTTGGCGGGGCGGAACGCTGCCGCGTTCCTTAATACTTATTTAATACGCAAGCAAGATTTTTGTGACAATTACTCCTCCGAAACTACTGAACCGATTTACATGTTCTTGGTGTCATTGGAAAGAGCGTAACGTGAAGTTGTGCAGGAAACCTTTTGTTTTTAGAAATAATCAGAGAGTGAGGCCCTGGGGCCCTTTAAAGTTTCGTATTTCTCCATAAGATTAACATGGGAAACAAACATTGTTATGAAACTCCAGCTGTTGTCAGAAATAAAATATTAATAGCCTAATTGGTCTCCATGGAAACACAATGTTTACCTTTGCTTTAGCATTTAAATGTAAACAACCAGAACTGAAAATAAATATTTCAAAAATTCAAACAGCTGATCCAAAAATATTAAATAAAATATTTTACACAACTATGTGGTAGGTTTATTTAATCTTAAACGTTATTGATAGATTATTTATTCTAAATCTTTTTCAATGATTATGAAACTGATTTTTCCCGTTGCGAAGCTCCGGGGTCAGGAGCTTCACTTATTTAAAAAGCAAGCAGGTTTTTTGTGGCAATTAATCCTCCAAAGCTACTGAACCGAATGACATGTTTTTGGTGTCATTGGAAAGGGCGTAACGTGAAGTTGTGCAGGAAACTTTCTTTTTAGGAAAATAATTAGAGAGTGAGGCCCTTTAAATTTTCGTATTTCGTACTTACTGCAATCAGCTTTTATTAGTTAGGCCTACTTGATTACTATTCCTTTATTATCTCTTTCTACATTATGGTCGCCATTACTATGTAATATATGTAATAATAATAGCCTAAATGAATGAAGAAATTCTTTTTTTACTTCTTAAGGAGACGTTTATTTTTGCTTTTCTCTGGAAACTAATTGAGGTCCCATCCATAATATATAATGTAATGATAATATGTTACTGGCCTGCCACAATAAACCAAATGCATCTAGATCTTTTGCTTTCTCCTGTGTTTAGACAGTTTTGCTTCAACTTTGAAGCAGTCAGCTGATTTGTAAACTGCAAAATAATAATATTTACAAGTGATAAGAAATTACAATACCACAATGTGCACGTGGCATTTTAAGTGATATTTTAATGTGTATGTCTATAAAATGTAGTAGTGTAAAATGTGTAATTTATATAACCATGTAATTTTTTGTGTTTTTACTAAAATTTCTCCTGTAATATTTAACCATGTAATTTTTTTACTTTAATTTCTTGAACAGTGTTGATTTTAAACATGCCTCCTATCAGAAGGAGACATTTACGCAGGACACGCGAGCATCGCCGTGACCTCATGCGAGGGGTGCGTGAAAACTACGAACCAAATACAGACTCATATAAAAGAGGTTTAAGGATGCCTGACGAAGTACTCCCATTCACAATTGGTCCGATGAATTTTCAGTGCATGTCATGTGGGGCTCAGCATTTTAAGGGTGAGGAAACTCAGAGAAACAACCGACAATTTTCATTGTGTTGTCACAAAGGTAAGGTTGTTTTACCAAACTATTCACCTGCTAACTACATCAAACACCTTATTGAAGGAATAAATTCACAAGACCAAGGAATTAAGCGAAAAAGTCAAAACTACATGGCAAATATTAGATCATTCAACTCAGCTTTTGCCATGGTGAGTTCAGAATCACATCTGGATGAATCGTTACTAGGCGGAATTTATAACTTCAGAATCCATGACAATTTTCATCACCGAATAGGGAGCCAAACCAAAACTGTGATAGAGATTTAATGGAGGAAATTGCATTGTATTTAAATGACGTCAACCCATATGTCCGCTCTTTTAAAACCATGGCTGAAATTTGTCATCAGTCTGATGACAACGAAGTTTTAATGTATATTGTGACTGATAAAGACTTGGACGTAAGACGTTATAACGATGCTGTCACCACTGACGTAGCGGCTATATTTCGGGCAAGGGATGGGGAACCTCCAGGGGAACGTAATTTAATAGTTTACTCAAAATCACATGGAATACGAAGAGTTTCAGTTCTTGAGCCTTCTTTAGATCCGATGGCATATCCACTTTTGTTTCCAGGGGGTGACAGTGGATGGAATCCTGGAATGTTGCATGCTCCTGGGACGTCAAGACAACGCAACAGATTAACGATGTTACAGTACACTTCGTATAGACTTGCTATCAGAGATGAATTAAGTATACTGCATAGGTCCCAAAAACTTTTCTTGCAATGGGTGGTGGATATGTACGTAAGGATCGAGGGAACAAGATTAGATTTCATTCGAAACCATCAAAACCAACTTCGAGCTGATTTGTACTTGAACGTCTGTGACTTTTTTCACGATCGTGTTGAAAATCAGAACCATCGTCTTGGGAGACAAGTAATTTTACCATCTTCATTCATAGGCTCGCCACGCAACATGAATCAAAACTACCTTGACGCGATGGCTATAGTTCAAAAATTTGACAAACCGTCATTATTTATTACAGTTACGTGTAATCCCAAATGGATCGAGATTGTACAAAACTTGAAACCTGGAGAGTTACCTCACTTTAGACCTGATTTAGTTGTAAGAGTTTTTCACACTAAACTCAAAGAGTTAGTATCTGACATGAAAAACCAAATATTTGGAAAACCTGTAGCTTTAATATACACTATCGAATTCCAAAAACGGGGATTACCACACGCACACATATTGTTGACGTTAGACGAGGAAGACAGAATTCAAGATGCCGAAACAATTGATCAAATTGTACATGCTTATCTTCCCGATAAAGAACGTTACCCAATGCTCTTTGAAAAAGTGAAGAACCAAATGATTCATGGCCCATGTGGCACTTTGAATCCTCGGTCACCGTGTATGAAGGATGGCGAATTCAGTAAAAGATTTCCTAAAGATTTTAATGAAACCACTAGGGAAAATGTTAATGGATATGCTGTATATAAGAGACCTGACAACAACAACACTGTAGATGTTCGAGGAAGTACTGTGGACAATCTTTTTATAGTGCCTTATAATCCCTATTTGCTGGCAAAATTCGACTGCCACATAAATGTTGAGGTTTGTAGTACTGTTAAGAGTATAAAATATATTTACAAGTATATTTATAAAGGATACGATTGTGCCACTTTAAGGTTTAGCACGTCAAATGACAATGAAATTGTTAATGACGAAATAGATAGGTATTTGAATTGCCGATATGTTGGGTCAGTTGAGGCTGTATGGCGTATCTTTGAATATGAAATGCATTTCCAGAGCCATCACATTGAGCGCCTAGATATTCATTTACCTAGGCAGCACACAATTGCTCGATTTCGAGCAACGGGTTCACTAGTCTATCTATCTATATATTAATAGGCAAGCATGTTTCTTTAAAACCTTTTTTCTCAGCTCGTGTGCATCGTAGGTAAAATCTACGCATACCGTTAGAAAGCTGTTTTCCCCGAGGTGTGCAGAATCCCTTTATAAATTTAAATAGGCTCAAAGATAAGCACGAAAAATGAGTTTAAAAATTTGAAAAAATTAACATGGATCGTATGCGTTGCCATGCTGGTGACGAAATAACAACGAAATATAAACAGAAAATCAAAACAAATGGAAGAATCTCCAATCACATGTTTTATTTACAGTGTGGGGTGAAAATAGAGAAGTGAGTACATTACATATTTTTGGTCGAGTTTCGACCACTGGACGACCTCTCGTACTTATTTAATACGCAAGCAAGATTTTTGTGACAATTACTCCTCCGAAACTACTGAACCGATTTACATGTTCTTGGTGTCATTGGAAAGAGCGTAACGTGAAGTTGTGCAGGAAACTTTCTTTTTAGGGAAATAATTAGAGGGTGAGGCACTGGGGCCCTTTAAATTTTCGTATTTCTCCATAAGATTAACATGGGAAACAAATATTGTTATGAAACTCCAGCTGTTGCCAGAAATTAAAAGTGAGAAGATGAACATATGTTAATTGTAAACAGTCAATAAGTTTGCTAATTTAACAGTTTGTTTGCCACAAACATTTACTTACTCGGTTGAAATGAAATAGTTACTATTTTAATTTGGGTTGGCGTAATTATTACAATGGGGAAAAACGAGAGAGCCTGGATAAATTGATATACTAAAATGAAAACTGAATTAACACTGTGCTGCATTTCTTAGTAATCACTGAAAGAGACGATTTGCAAACTATGGAAACAGGAAAGTCATAGAACACCACCAAGGGGAAGAAATAGAAATAATGTGTGCTATTAACACTAAAATACAAATAAAATTCATTTTTATAGCCCCAGGATTGCGTAATATGACATATAATGGTTAAAACATACCTCGTCAGACAATCCTTAACATGTAGTGTCGATGTTGCTACATATGTTTCGGCGGTTATTTACTGATCTCCGCCATCGTCAGGCAAACAAAAGGATCCACTTGATGTGTCGTCAGAATAAATAAATAATACACACATTTTACAAAACACAAAAACGAACATGATAGGCCTATCAATTACACGCACTGCCGTGGACATGGCAGGAAGCAGACTGAACGTTATGTTGTGATGTGACTTGGCTCCGGGCTGTCGTCTGCGTTATCAACAGCTGATATTGGTCTATTGTAGTGATGGAGGAGAGTATTGAAAATATAATGAGATTCATAGTTGAGTTTTTCATTCAAAATTTGTGTGCTGTCCTTGGTTTTTATGTCTTTATATATTTCGAATTCTTCCAGAGTGTTTAATAAATTTCCTTTCCCACAGTAATGAAGGATATCAAGACCATCATTTATATCTAGCATATCATGTTTGTTGTCGATAATGTGTTGAGCGAATTTAGATTTCTGCATTTTTAATTTAGGGGCTGGTCGGTGTTCTTTATACCTGGTTTTAAAAGGCCTCCCGCTTTGTCCTACATAGGTGCTCGGGCAATCGGCGCATTTTATACGGTATACACCTGTCTTCTCATATTTATCACCTTGTGGGTGTTCACCTTTAGATACGTTCCGTAGCCGATTGGAAGTTTTAAAAGCCAGTTTGACACCATGTTTACTCAGATCTTTCTTCAGGTAGTTGTTTATTTGGTGGTTATACTCGACACAGCAATATGTTATTCTATTGTTATCATTATTTGTTGGCTGGTGACATGTATTGTTCTTTTTCTTTATAATGATTTTGTCCACCATATCGGATTTGTATCCATTGACCACGGCAATGTGCTTGATTATATTAAGTTCTTTAGTGTAATTTTCTGGACTTAGTGGGACATTTAGAAGTCTGTAGATCATCGAGTTGTATGCGGCTAGTTTTTAAAATACAAAATCAGCTTTTGAAAAATGATAAGATATTTACAAGAAATGTTGATTATATCAATCTGTTATGTACCTACATCTTGAGTATTCCATAATCTTTGAGTCGAATCTTTTATAGTCATAAAAAATATGACTGTTATTCGTTTTAAAATAACGCCTGTAATACTTAGCAATTGCTCGATTTCGAGCAACAGGGACACTAGTTAATTATAAAATATGTTGTTGATATTGTATAAAATGTACAGTAAAATTCAAAAATTATATTCTCTACTTGTTAGTCTAATTATAGAGCTAACTGTACCCGTCGGATTGAATGAACAGTGGAGTGAATGAACAGGCAAATAATTTGTAAAATTACTTTTTGGAGTGAACCATCTTGGAGTGAATGAAACATATCGATAATTACAACTCAAGTTGTTGCGTTATTGCCTGCTTGTATAGCCTTCATCTATGGCGACGCAATGCCCGCCCGCATCTTAGACCTTCCGGGACTCGAATCTTAGACCTTCCGGGACTCGAATCTTAGACCTTCCGGGAATCGAACCTTAGACCTTCCGGGACTCGAATCTTAGACCTTCAGGGAATTAGACCTTCCGGGAATTAGACCTTCAGCAACTCTCATTTTATAAACATTTATTTAAAAAAGTTACATTGTGTGCCCAAGGTCTAATCCCGCAAGGTCTAAAACAGTATCAGTGGATGAGTTTTTTGCATTGACTGTACTCTTAGACCTTCCGGGAACTAGACCTTCGACATACTACCAGATTAGACCCTCAGCAACAAGTACAAACTGCAAAATGTGTGTCGAAGGTCTAATTAGACCTTCCGGGAATTAGACCTTCAGCAACTGATCCGGCATAGCTGTTCAAGTCCCTGACCGTACAGCCGACACGCTGCTGCCCATGATACAGCAATACATCGACCCAGAGACGTACATCTGTAGCGATCTAAGGCGGGCCTACAACAGGGTCGGTGAAGTATTTGCAGGTCATGGCGCTGTCAACCATAGCACCAACTTTTTGGACTCTCCCCGGGAACAGGACCCATTTTGGGTGCAAGAGGGAAGGTTCGATGAAAGATGTCTTGACCACCTGTTTGTAGGTCCAATGCTGGAGAAGTTGCAGGGTCAACGTCCATTCAGGGTGCACACGCAGACCATCGAGAATACATGGAAGTGGCTCAAGGACATCCTCCGTGGCGTCAATGACAGGACCCTCGTCCATCAGAGTGGATTTACCGGCACAACGTCCTGAAACAACATGTGAGTAGTATAAAACACGGGGGTAATCCCGTGACGTCATAATTAGGTAATTGGTAAGTATTTTGTGATTGTGGAGCAGCGTGAATTACGCAGCGACTCTGGCGATGTATGTTGTGGATTGGTTGGTATTGTTATTAGGTCAAGGTTGTCTGAATGTGTTTTTTTAAATGTTCAGCTTTAATGTTTCAAATATACCATGTACTGCATTGTAAAAATATGTATTGTTCCATTTAACTATCCATCAACTAGCTGTCTCATATAATCTTCGAACTCTGGGCGGAGAAAGTACGAGGTACTAGATACTTGTGAGTTCTGTATCGGTGACATAGTTACGTCTACTGCGTTTTGTTCTTGAGTGTTTTGTTCTTGAGTGTTTTGTTCTTGAATATTATTATTTGAGATATTAGTAGTTGAAGATATTTTTGGATCTTGAATTGCTGAATTTCGTGTAGACATGTTTTCCTGACGGTAGCTAAGAGTCAAATGATCTGTAGTTTACTCTGTTAACACTTATATAGTGTTTACAGACATTCTAAATGTTTGCACAGAGACGTTTCAAACTTCCGAGAGATGATTCTCACGGAACGACAACAGATGTGAGTGTTCGCATGTGTGCGCCTATAAATAACTAGGCCTACTCGTTCTCGCGGGGGACCGACATGTGATTAACTGTTATTGCTTTACTTTTTCTAGCGTCACTGATTACGCTTAGCGGTGTTACGGCTTTTTGTTAATGGATTATTTTATCTATGTAGGAGGTAAGTTAACCTATTATTGTTTCTGCATTGTGTTCAAGATTGTTGTTTGTCGTGCAAACTAGACACGCTTCATTCGTATTGCGTACTGCTTTGTGTCAAGCAATTTTATCCTGTCACATTTTGTAATTTCCAGAGTTTTAATTATATTTCCCTGTTGTATTTTAAGTTTAAGTGTTTCCAGTTTGTGATACACGTCGCCCCATTGTGATTTGTGGAATATTCCCTAAATATACAGGTAATTAATTTTTCTTGTCATATACATATATATATATATATATAGTATCCTAATATATATTAGCTTTTACTATTTATTTATAAGAAGCTCACTCCTTAATCATTACTTAAATTAGCTCAACTATTTGTATAAAAGATCCTACCACTATTTCGTCTAATCATTTCAATACAACCTTTCTCATAATATAAAAACGAAACTAACATATCTTTTAATAATGAAAACTTTACAAGACTATAAACAAATATTTCGGTAAATCTGCGCTTACAAAACACTTATCTTAACTCAAAAATTCTTTTGCTGTATGAATACAACAATATACGTTGCAACCATTTTTACCGCCTATTTTATAACAATTTTTTTTCTACAGAATAAAACGGCTTTCGATTAGTAATATTTTAGGTATTGGCAGTGAGTTTTTAGTCTTTTCACGTGATATAAAAATTTGAGGCCAATAAAATAGATGAAGTTCAGGACCATCTCACTAGAGTTTACTAGTGTATTTTGTTGAATATTAATTAAAACTAATGCAGTACATAGCAAACAGCTGATTGATTTATCACTTAAATTTGAGGCCAATAAAATAGATGAAGACCATCTCACTAGAGTTTACTAGTGTATTTTGTTGAATATTAATTAAAACTAATGCAGTACATAGCAAACAGCTGATTGATTTATCACTTAACAGATTGCACTACGTTTCTTTTTTGCTTCAAATGTTTACATTACTTGGGAAGTCTATTCTGTGTATAGTCAATGGTTTTATGTTTTTAAGAAAATTGGTATTCCAATATCGCTAAATCACTATACGTATTTAATGTCTCACATTTTGTAACAGATGTTATGTAAACCGCAAATAATCTTTCTTGTGATATATACAAACAAAAAACTATATCATTTACCTCAAATCATTATATTATAATAAAAAATAAATGATTTAGGATAAAAAATATTTTATAATATACATTGTCCTTGTCAAAATAAATGTATGTTTATTCAAGTTCGCCTCATATTTTGTTGTAGTCCTAATGATAATATTAATTACCTTTTGTTGTTTTTGTATTTGTTAAAATATGGACTGATTAAACTGAATAACTAAACATTTTTAAGATTGAAAAATGGTTACCGATTTCCTTAACTAACAATGTATAAACGTATAAATTGTTCTTCACAAAACGAGATATCTAAATATGACTCTAATACATTAATTATTAACTTGTTTGGATTATAAAAGGTAAAATGTGATAGCCTAAAATTATACTTTGTTTTTTATTGAGGATTGCTTTATTGACATACGTAAAAATTTCTTCACATTCTAATAATCATAATAGAAAACTATATATTTTACTTAACAATTTTTATATTAAATTATTCTTTGTTCTTTTATCTCAAATTGTTTTCTCACGTACATGAATTGACTCACTTTTTGTTACGCTCTTAAATTATAATATTAATCAAGGTACTTCTCATAGTCAGTTGCCGACTTTATTAAAATATAGCTCGATTAAATTGGTTGTTTTTTATAAGATTTTCTTAACATATGACTTGTTCTTCTCAAAATAAACATATAAAATGGTTCTAATACTTAATTGCTTAATGTGTTTTTTTTCTTCTAGAGTTAACTAACGCAGCTTTACTTGAAACACGGAGTATTCCTGATTTACTACAGGTAATTATTTGAAAAATCTTAGTTTACGCATAGTTCAGATGGTTTCTATCTCTTTGTAATCTTTCCTTAAAAAATACATGTACAACTAAATATATTTTAGTTAATAGTATTTATATTAAATATTCTTTGTTCTTTTATCTCAAATTGCTTTCTCACGTACATGAATTGTTTCACTTTTTGTTACGCTCTTAAATTATAATATTAATCAAGGTACTTCTCATAGTCAGTTGCTGACTTTATTAAAATATAGCTCGATTAAATTTGTTGTTTTTTATACGATTTTCTTAACATATGATTTGTTCTTCTCAAAATAAACATATAAAATGGTTCTAATACTTAATTGCTTAGTGTGTTTTATTTCCTTCTAGAGTTAACTAACGCAGCTTTACTTGAAACACGGAGTATTCCTGATTTACTACAGGTAATTATTTGAAAAATGTTAGTTTACGCATAGTTCAGATGGTTTCTATCTCTTTGTAATCTTTCCTTAAAAAATACATGTACAACTAAATATATTTTAGTTAATAGTATTTGTAAAATGCTACGATTGTTATGTGTTTATTTTACTTAGCTCGGTTAATAATTTAATTGACTTCATATCTCGTTCTTGAGACCCAACTAATATTGTTTCTTGTATTATTGAACATTCTTAAGCCAAAAAATATATTTTTAATTGTAATTTGCATCTCCATAAGCATTATAAAATCACGTATCTTGTTTTTGGATTATTAAAACGGCTATTCCGCTATCTTTCAAATAATATTAATATCAAAATAAATATTAATAATTAATGGCTGCTCTTGCTAGTCCCCCACTACACCTCATATCCTTTGATTGGGTGGGTAGACCACGCCTCCAGCAAGCCCCGTCCCCACTACGCTACCTGTCCTGTGATTGGCTGAGTAGACCACGCCTCCACTTAGTCCAACCCCCACCAGAGCGCACAAAACTAGTTGAATCTCTTTCAAACTTCACTACATCTTGTGTACTCGCACGGTACACATCATGTTTTGCTCCTTTCAAACCCTTGTCTATCTAGGGTTTGAATGAATCTTTGTTTATCCTTCCTTAATCATTTGTGTTTCCTGAACATGTGACAGTGGTAAAACCAAGTCGCATTTCTATCCTTCCTTAACATACAGCAGTGGTCAAACCAAGCTGTATTTAAATCCTTCCTTAACTTGCAAATTGGAAAAACCATTTGCGTTTCCTGAACATGTGACAGTGGTAAAACCAAGTCGCATTTCTATCCTTCCTTAACATACAGCAGTGGTCAAACCAAGCTGTATTTAAATCCTTCCTTAACTTGCAAATTGGAAAAACCATTTGCGTTTCCTGAACATGTGACAGTGGTAAAACCAAGTCGCATTTCTATCCTTCCTTAACATACAGCAGTGGTCAAACCAAGCTGTATTTAAATCCTTCCTTAACTTGCAAATTGGAAAAACCATTTGCGTTTCCTGAACATGTGACAGTGGTAAAACCAAGTCGCATTTCTATCCTTCCTTAACATACAGCAGTGGTCAAACCAAGCTGTATTTAAATCCTTCCTTAACTTGCAAATTGGAAAAACCATTTGCGTTTCCTGAACATGTGACAGTGGTAAAACCAAGTCGCATTTCTATCCTTCCTTAACATACAGCAGTGGTCAAACCAAGCTGTATTTAAATCCTTCCTTAACTTGCAAATTGGAAAAACCATTTGCGTTTCCTGAACATGTGACAGTGGTAAAACCAAGTCGCATTTCTATCCTTCCTTAACATACAGCAAGCTGCTACTTTCAAACCCTTGCCTATGTTATATGTCTAAAAGTTCTTCATGCATGTACTGTTTAGTCTTTCTTGCTAGATAATTTGCTTTAGTAGTTGTGACTTGGTGTTAGTGGTTTGAATCTTTGCATGTTTTTTTTTTTAAACTAATGACCTTGACCTACTTGTATTATTGGTTATTTGAAACTTTATCTTTAAAATAGTTTCTCTGCCCACATACAACTCCTCCTTTTAGATGTACTTATTCCCCCACCTCTTTACCACACTCATATCTTCCCCCACTCTGTCTATCTATATCCCCCACCACTTAGGGTGGGTATAAATGAGAGAGCATATTGGTTAATAACATCATTCTGTTGCCAGCCTGCAGAAAAGCCATGGACCCCTGCTTAAGAAAGACTACCAAGCCAATGAAGCCAGTGGCAGGCATGAAGAGATCTAAACTTCAGGAGGCGTTGACTGGAGGTATTAAGAAGATGAAATCATCAACTCCTTCTGAAACCCTGGTCAACAAGACTCTGTCGCAGCCGGGATCCTCTTCATCTGCTTTGTCTGACGATGCAAAGAAAACAACTACAATATCAACTCAATCTTCCCTTGCCGCCAAGACTCTTTCGCAGCCAGGCAAGACTCTGTCGCAGCCGGGATCCTCTTCATCTGCTTTGTCTGACGATGCAAAGAAAACAACTACAATATCAACTCAATCTTCCCTTGCCGCCAAGACTCTTTCGCAGCCAGGATCTTCTTCTGCTTTGTTTGAAGATAGATTGAAGAAACCTTCTTCTGGTAACACTTCGTCGAAGAAACGGTCTGATTCATCGTCTTCCTCTTCTTCTTCTTCGTCATCATCTTCCTCGTCTTCTTCATCGTCCTCGTCCTCTTCTTCTACGTCATCGTCCAAAAATCAAACAATTAAGTCCCCTCTATCCATGCTTCTCTCTCCCATAATTCTCTCCTTGCTATCTCCTATTAAATCTCCAGAAAAGCCATCCACTCCCAAACGTAAGCCATCTCCAAAACCTCAACCACATAGCCTAACTCTTCCTAATTTAAATTCCTCCTCGAACCAAAAGCCTGACATAGATTCTCCTGAAATTACCATTCCAAACCCCCCACCCAAATCCCTCCCTGCTGCACCCACTGTTGTTAGAAAACTCTTTACTAAAACTGAATCCTCAAAAGAATCCCTCCCCCCCCCATTCAAACCCTTCTGAAAAATTGGTAAAACTCATGGCCAAAAGACGAGCTGCATTTAAGCCCAAGCCACAATGTTCTTATATTTTCCAAAAAGGGGTGAAAAAAGGTGAGCGTTGTGAAAAGTCCTGCTTTTCTGATGCTAATGTGTGCAGCCTCCACACTAAGGGGAAAAGCAGGATGGTACCCACTCAACCTAAAATTATTAGCAGCAAACCTGTCGCTACCAATCCTCAGTCATTTGAAAGACCATCAATAATCGTCAAAAGCCAGGCTCAGGAAAAATCTTGTACATCTGATCCAACACCGAGCACCTCACGTGTTGTTGTGATAGACAAGATTTTGCCTAGCCAACCACGAACGTCAGGCTTTGCTCGACCCTGTCGTCCACCACAAATTCAAGCTAAAAAAACCAGAATTGATAGGCTACCCAAAAACCGTAAATTCGAAATTCTTCTGATGACACCAAACGGTGAAGTCATTTTAAGAGAAGGAAATGACAGGTTCCGACTTAAATTACCCAGAGGCATGACCATCCCGAATACAACCCACCGATACTACATAATTCGTGATCGGTCTTCGGGATGGGCATCTGTAACATTATAAATTGGTTTAGTTTCAAATTGATCTTAATTATCCTCTAAATTCTCCTTTAGTATGCAAAAATTGGGAACGCATTTGTTATAGCCTAACAAATGCGTTCCCAATTTTTGCATTTAAAGAGTGACCTTGAGATTTTAGAAATAGATTATTTTAATCAGAGATTTCCATCTAATTTATTCATAAAACATTAGAAACAAATTTGTTATATCCTAACAATGTGTTCGCAAAGTTTCATGTATAATATTTTGATAAAGTTATTTTAGAAAACATATTGATTGTTCAAGTTGTCCAATATTACATCAACATTTTTCTATATTGTAAAATTAACTATTCTAAGGACATTTAAAAGATATATTAGGTTTATCTCGTGTTTTGCAAAAAGATCTTCATTGCCATTGTGTATAAATTAAGTGTAACACTTTATGATATAACTCAATATATTTTCATAATCCTCAAAGGCATCTAGGCATACAAACACAAAATTTATTTGCATTAACTGTTTAAGGTTAATTCCTTTACATTTCATCTTTGTTAACAGGTTTACTTGAATAGTAGTTGTACATTTTATACTTAAGTAGTGTTGAACTTTACAAGACATAGAAAACAAACATATAAATGGTTAGCAACCATAATACTTTGTTACCATTCGTTTTTTAGTATGGAAATAAATATGATAGAAGTTTCTATGTTTGGTTTTTCTTATTAAAACCCCTACTGATCCATTTTTTATATTGCAAATTACTAAGACGTAAAGAGATATCGTTTTTATGGTCAATACAGTTGCGGAAATTTTATTAGCTTAATAACTTTGTCCAACAATTAGGTCAAGGTTAAACTGAAGAGTTTTTAAAAAATAATAAAATCAGCTACATATCTTCTGATTCACTCTCTGAACTAAAGGATAAACTTCTTCGAAAATTACCACAAAACCTTTTAGTTGTTGTCAAATTTATACTTAAGTAGTGTTGAATTTTATTAAACATAGCCAATGAATATATAAATTATTAGTAGCCATAATACTTTGTCTACATTCGTTTTGTAGCAAGAATAGGAATAAATATACCAGAATTTTATATTTTTAACATTGCAAATAGTTTGTTCTGCTACGTTACCATGACTTAAAAATTGCTAAGATGTAATATGTAATGATGCTATTAGCTTGATTAACTGTGTCCAACAATTAGGTCAAGGTTAAACTGAAGAGTTTTTAAAAAATGGTAAAAAGCTACATATTTTCTGATTCACTCTCTGAACTAAAGGATAATCTTCTTCGAACATTGCCACAAAACTGTAATACTCGACAAAGTTTATTTTCTCCATTTTCAACTTCATCTGCTTGAACTGGAATCTTTGGTGTTTCACAGTAGTCCGAATGAAATTCATTGTTCGGTGTGGGTTGACCTTGTTCGTTGTTCACATCCTCGTCCAGTTGTTCTTCCTCTAGCATCTCTTGCAAGTCCTCGTCGTTTTCTGTATCACTTTCATTTTGTGCTTCATCAAAATCAGTCTCCCAGATTCGAGGCTCTACTCCAGTAAGGTTCGTGTGGTCTGTAGGAGGCATTGTGAATATGTAAGCTATAATGCTGCTTCCTGCGTTATTATAAAATCCCGCCCACGACCCCCACCACCACCATAAAATACTTATGCCATTGGTGGAAAGGGTTGGGGTCTAATCCCCCCCCCCTTATTGAATAAATGGAGTGGGGGGTTATACACTGTGTTATATATATAAGTCACGCACGCAACTGATATCATTCCTATGAACACAACCATGCAGTGTGTAATGTAGCTAGTTTCCTTAGTAGTGTCTTAAACTACAAAAATGTATCAATGTGAAAATTGTCATGAGTCTTTTGAGGATGAATTTCTCCTCAATATTCATAATGAACTCTTACATATGTCTAATGAATCTTCAACACCTATGGAATATGAAGATTTGATTGAAGACCCCTTCTTACAACAGAACAGACCAACAGTTATACAGTATGCACCACCAAACCAACAATTATCAGTAGAAATATTAGCCCAAGCATTTCCTAAAGCCATAGTAAACCATTTCAAAATTTCTAATACAAATTATGATTTGTCAGATTTTATTTTAAAAGCTAAACCCCTTATCATAAAAACACTACAACAGGAACTAACCAGACTTAATTTTATCAAATTTGGCTTGCTCTTGGACACTAGATTTACAAATGTACAAAATGAGGTGTCCCCTCGGGGGTTTATAACACGAAATAAATCCATCATGGTAACCACTGATCTGGAGGCTGAAGTTGACAGTTGCTTGGAAGAAATTGTTGTTAAAATATCTGAACATGAAGGAAGAGGATCTGGGTGGTCTTTGTTAAGCGTAGACAGCTTAGATATACGTGTACATAAACATGGGTATGGTGATAGAGGTAGTAGTTTCATCCCACTGCCCAAAAAGATTGCTAATACAAGAACTTGCATAAATGTTCAAAATGAAGACAATGAGTGTTTTAAGTATGCTGTTTTAGCAAAGTTTGTTGAAGACAGGCACGCCTATAGACCAAGCCGTTATTATAGTGAAGTGGCTCATAAATATAATTTTACAGGTTTGGTTTACCCAGTGTCTTTAAAAGATATCAAGAAATTCGAAAAACAAAATCTTAATTCATCCGTTAATGTGTATGGATTGGATGAGTCTAATAATGTGTTTCCTATTCAGATTACATCTCATGAACGTAGAGACCATACAGATCTTTTACTTCTTACAAATGGTAAAATCTCACATTATGTTTACATAAAAAACTTTTACGCACTTTTATCAAGACAGTTATCCAAAAGGAAGATGAGTCTCACCATTTGCAAACGGTGTTTTTGCTACGCTGCCAAACCATTTCATTTGGGGGGTAAGGAATGGTTACTTGACCACCAACGTCTCTGCAATAGTAAGGACGAAGTAAGGGTTAAATTACCTCACCCTAATAGAGCTTTTATTAAATTCAACAAAACGGCTCAACAATATCGAATACCAATTGTTATATATGCAGACTTTGAGTCATCGTTAGTTCCTTTAGTTTTAGATGAGTGTGATCAAAGCAAAATTAAAAAAATTCAATTTCATGAACCAAACAGCTTTTGCTTAATGCTTAAATCAACTTTGGATGAAGATCATTTACGTCAGTACGGGTTAACAACCCAACCACTTGTATATCGCGGTGAAAATGCTGCTAAGTCATTTGTAGATAACCTTTATGATATAGCTAATAAGGTGGAAAAACTGTATAGTTATGTAGTTCCAATGATTAATCTTACACATGATGAATTGACATTCCATGAAAGTGCGGATAGATGTTACCTTTGTGACTGTAGTTTTACAGAAGACAACAGGCGTGTTCGGGATCATGATCACCTGACTGGTTTTTACAAAGGCCCTGCTTGCAACAGTTGTAACATTAATTTTAAATTACGAAAGTTTATCCCAATAGTGTTCCACAACTTAAGTGGATATGACTCTCATTTCATAATTCCTGAATTAGGTAGAGACAAAGGGGCGATTGATGTTTTAGCTACAAGTACGGAGAAATTTATTAGTTTTTCGAAAAAAGTGGGTAAAATAAAATTAAGGTTTGTAGACTCTTTCAGATTCATGGCTTCTAGTTTAGAGAAATTGACAGCTAATTTGCAAAGAGAACATTTTATTGAAACTCAAAAGATTGTCGCTTCTGATCACATGGATTTGGTTCTTCGTAAAGGAGTGTACCCTTATGATTATATTGATAATCCTGAAAGATTTAACGAGACCTCACTACCACCCATTGAGGCATTTTACAGTCAGTTAAATGATTCTAATATTGACCCTGAAGACTATCAACATGCTTGTCAGGTATGGAGTGAGTTAAACATGAACACCTTAGGCGAGTATAGTGACTTTTATGTGAAGTTAGATGTAACACTTCTTTGTGATATAATGGAGGAATTCCGTAACACCTGTATAGCGGCCTACGTATTAGACCCTCTACATTCATACACCTCGCCTGGATTAGCTTGGCAAGCTATGTTAAAAGAAACAAAATGTACATTACAGCTGTTAACAGACATTGATATGGTGCTTATGATTGAATCTAGTATCCGTGGGGGACTTACCCAGAGTGTAACAAGGCATGTCAAAGCAAATAATAAACACATTCCAAACTTCAAGAAGGAGGACCCATCAGTTTATTTAGGGTATTTTGACGCCAATAACTTATATGGGTGGGCAATGTCAAACCCACTTCCATATGGTAATTTTCAATGGATTGATCCAATATTATTAGGTGATGTAACAAGTATCCCAAAAAATGGAGACACCGGATTCATAATGGAGTGTGATTTTGAATACCCATCCACACTTCATGATCATCACTATGATTTACCTCTATTAGCTAAATTTGAAATACCACCAGACGGA